GCAGGGAGCCCGATGTGGGACTCGATCCCAGGACCCTGGGATCATGACCTGAGCTGAAGGCAGATGCTTAACGACTGAGCCACCCAGGCGCCCCTCGGTGTCGGTTTTGATTTCAGAGAGTTAGAACTATAAATATCCAACAATAGGGGATCACCTCATCTGGACGTGGATTCAGGATTTTTATTCCTATCTTTCAGAGCGACAAACTGAGGCTCAGAGAGGGGAAGTTACTTGCTCAGGGGCACCCAGCAAGTTTACTGTAGTAATTACTAAGCACTCCTCTGTGCCCGGTACTTAATAATACCCACTCTACAGATAAAGATGGAATAGAGAGGTTTATCATGCAGATGGCCAGTGATAGAGCCTGGTACCAGGTCTGGCTTATCCCAAGGCCTCCTGTGACATCTTAAAGATGAGAAGCTTTCAGCCCTGCAGTTCTCATGAATCCTGAGACTGTTGACTCTGAGCTTTTCTGAATCTCCTAATATTGCAGTGGGGAGCTGGTTAAATAAATAGCTTTAACCCCATTTGACTCAGTGGTATTTATAGACAATAGTACGTCCCTCTACTCATAATCATCCCCCAAATCCATAATGCCCTAATATGAAGGAGAAATAAAAGGAAAACAATACAGCATAATAAGCACCTTTATTTCAATGTGTAAATGCTCAGGCACAGCCCCAGGGAATCATGATAAAGGTGGCAGTTGCTTGGACCTCATGAATGCAGGGGCCCATAGACAGCCTGACCCAGCCGGGTGGATTTAGTGAATTAAATGCTGTATGGCCAGGGTTGCGGTTGGTAATGGGATCTTCCAAAGCGGCAAACAACCCTCAGTCTAAACAAAATCCAGTCTTCCCTCAATTAACATGGTGGTCACAGTCCTTGAAAATTCAGTGATTTTTTAAATTATGGGAAAAAGAGGGGCATCTGGGTGGCTCAGTTGGTTAAGTGTCTGCCTTTGGCTCAGGTCATGATCTCAGGGACCTGGGATTGAGTCCCGCATCGGGCTCCTGGCTCAGTGGGGAGTCTGCTTCTCCCTCTCCCTCTGCCTGCCACTCCCCCTGCTTGTGCTCTCTCTCTCTCTGAAAAATAAATAAAAATCTTCTAAAAAATTAGGGGAAAAGGACTATATATGTAAAACGACTAGGTTCTTGGCTCTGATCAATTTAAACAGGTTTGTCCTCGACGTGAATGTTGGCGGGATGATCAGAAGTCTTGCAGGACTTGTGTGGGAACATCCCTGGTATTGCAGGCTGTGTGGGCTGTGGGTCCCCATCACTGTGTCAACCCACATCACCCCCCCAATATCACAGACGCCCCCTAGAGGGGGGTACTCCCTCACAGAGATGCACTCATTCATTGTTTGTTTGTTTACTTATTTATTTATAGGTAGGCAAGGGATTTAGAAGTCCAGAGCAGGCTTTACAGGGTCTTTGATGCCAGGAGGTCCCTGCGGGGAACCCAGGAAAGCCAAGTGGGTCTGGCCCCGTCTAAAGGGCTGGTTTCTATCTGCTCCTGTGTGTGGCTGCTGAACCCGAATTCCAGCCCCAGCTG